AAGATTGGAAGGTGATGCATTTACAGTTGTCGATATGCTGATAATGAGTTTACCGTGCACTATTTCATTTCCATTTGATTTTTTCAGATCTCTTGTCAACAGCTCTGCATAAATTTAAATTTATGAAAAATTAAAGACTACTTTACTTTGCTAGAACATAGTATTTATATGAATTGATGCTAGCAAAAAGTTTTTTTTTAACTGTGTATAATGTAATATAGTGGTTTTGCTTACCATCATTATCGATGTTAGCATCAAAATCCAACACATCTCCTACTTGAACATTAATTACGCCTAAAAATCCTTGGTCCTTTCTCACAAACTTTTTTTGGTCAAAAATTTGAATTGCAATTACGCTTTGATTTGTTACTTGCCTACAATGTTGAGAATCAACATTTATGAATATTGTGTATAATTGCTATGGTTAATATAAGAAAAATAGATAGAATATATACATGTCAAAACTCTCATTCCAATATGGATTTAGAGTTTTCTTAGTCACAGTTGTAGTATGTGTTTGCTCTCCATCTACAGTTACAACTGCGAAAGGATCAGGAAGTCCTATAAAATTGCAATTTAGATTACCTATCTCCTAAAAAAAATAAAATAAAATAAAATAAAATTTAAACGAAGCTACATACGAAATACATCTCTCTTGTATAGGTCATCTGCAGCGATAACTAGTATAAGGGAAATAGGACGAGTGGATGTCAGTCATTCGTAAAGTAAATTAAACGAGACGAATTCATGCAGACCTGTTAAGCGTATCGTTTTTCTTTATAAAAACAAAATAAGGGTCATTTTTGTTTGGAAGTAAGGAAATTAACAACAAACAAAAGAAACAAAAGCATAGCTGTTTACTCCTAATGAACTGGATAAGCCATCAGTTAAACTATACTAACGTTTGGAGATTCGTCATTTTCGTTGTAAAACTTCACTAGCAAAAATGTTAAAATACGTAAAAAGTAGCTTCTTGTCTTTATTTTATTTACTTATTTTACTTATTTACTCTTCACTTTATTTTGTATTATATTTTATTTGAAAATTTCTGTTATTACAAAAGAAACTACTGTCAAGTATGGATATAACGGACATATATATAATGGAATAGGATTATAACGGATTTTAAATTTAAAAATTTATTATAATTCCTCTATAAATTAGTAAAAGCTACAGTTTTCAAAAAAAATTTTAATATACTCAAAATTCCGTTATATATTTATTTGACAGTACATAAGAGAGAAATGAACAAATGGTAATCCTGCTTTACGAATTTTCTTCGATCGGCCTATAACTCCGCCTAGTGTTATGAATCAGTGCAACACAAACCACCCAGAAGATCTTAATACCAAAATAAGTTATATGAATACCAGGAACATAGTAAGAATGTGAAGTGTCTAACTAGAATGGCAAATGTGCAAATGAGGTAATATGATTGGGTGATGGTTGTATGTATAAAATATGAGCGCTGCCAAGGGAAAAGGGCCACTTTGAACTTTATTAATCAAAGATATTTCAATAACTACTTGATCAAATTTGATAAAGTTTTTTTTTTTTATTTGAATTCTATAGATTTGTAGAATTCAAATATAAAAATTTTATCAAATTTGATTAAGTAGTTGCTGAGATCTCTTTGATCAAAAATAATTTTAACAAAGTTCAAAGTGGCTCTTTTCTCTTGGCGGTAGTGTTACAAATTGGCAAAATTTTTTCAATCGATTAGTTGGTTAATTATTTTTCCAGTTGGTTGCAACTAATCGAT